ATCATGTGCATTTTAGCTTATATTACTACTCATCCTGCTGAACCGTTATATTCTACCGTGTTGTTGTTTACTATCTCTCTTCACGATGTTGTAAATTTAGATGGTGTCTATCATGGAGCGCTAAGATTCATAACTGGCTATAACTATCGTACCCACCACTGCACCCTGTATTCACTGGCTAAATGGTCATCATTAACTTTACACAGATTCTCTCACTGGTACATTTTCATCTTTAAATCACTTCTCGGTCTGCTGCCTTCATACATCTCCTCCTATGTTACTGTGTGAGTGCAGCTACAGCGTGCGCTCTCAGTACATTATTACATGCAGTGTTCCCTCAGTGCAGACTGAACTAGGCAAAAGGGCCTTCTCCTACTCCGCTCATGTTTCCTGGAATATTTTGAATAAAGATCTGAAGCTATCGACCTTGACCTCTCTAAGTAGCTTCAAATATCTGTTAAGTTCCTGGCAAAAACCAATGCTGCCATGTTCCTGTATTCTACACCGCCTTACAATCTAGTTGCTTTTTTGCTACTTTTCCTTTTAATTGTCCTTTTAATTACCATTTTATTTTAAGTTGTTAAAAAATTAATTTGTACGCATCCTTTATGATTGTCTATTGCTGTCATTGTTGTCCACTGTTGGCATCACTGTTAAAATTCAGGTCTGTCTTGTAAATGAGTCCCCGAGGCTCAATGGGATTAATTTGTATAAATAAAGGTTGAATGAATTATAATTGCTTTTTCACTTTTTGGCACTTTATTTTTGTACCCTTATTGCATGCTTTTCATATTTCTTTTTTGTTTGTTCTTTGATTTTTATTTTTTAGCTAGTCAAATTGGTTGTTACCTTATGTTAAACGTTATGATAAATAAACACAACTTGAACTTGAACTATTTTTTCCCTGTTTGTTTAGCTTGTAAGCTCTGTTTGCAAAGTCATTTCCAGCCACAAGACTTTTAATTAATTAATCTACTAAGTGTTTTAGTCTATTTAATTTGTAACAACCATTTGCGTCAAAAACGAAGATAACCCACTTAAATAAAGACGGTCGGTAGTGACACCTTGCGGTATCCCTGAAAACACTCTGTCCTCGGAACTTAAGTTGTGGAGCTGTTGTAACAGACGGAACTATTAAAGAGACGCAACAGTTACCTAAGGCCTAGCAAAACGGAACACACAACAAAACGGGGTTTTCTGTAGCATGGTGTCCCAAAGACAGGATCGGGTGTGGAGGTACGTGGAAGAAGGGAGTCTTCTGAAATTGAAATCGTACCTGCGGAAACACTGCGACCTGGATGTGAACTTCTCCCGGGGAAGGAAGCAGAGAAGCCCGCTACACCTGGCCTGCTCCCTGGGAGACGACGCTGTTCTGCGGCTGCTGCTTAAACACAGAGCCGATGTTCTTCAGAGAGACCGGAGAGGAGACACGGCGCTTCACATCGCAGCCAACAGGGCCCTGAAACACGGGAAAACCGGTGAGGAACAAACAGCTTTATTTGAGTTGGATTTATAAATGCTCCTGTTTTTATTATTATTGTTTTTTTTCTTATGATTTCTAGTTTATGATGACCTGGTTGTGCCTCTCAAAAAGTCATGTCCTGAAGCTTTAAATGCTCCAAACAGAGCTGGAGTCACACCTCAAGACCTGCTGAACTGGCTGAAACATACAAAGGTAAACAGAATACTCTAAAGTGTAATATTTAAACTGATAAAGTAAACAGTATTTTAAAGCTCCTTCATATTCTAGAGTTGCAACTAATAATCTTCTGTGGGCAAATATATATA